GAATATTATTTGCAGTACATCTTTGGATTTAATATGCATCAGTGGAAAGAGGGAGCGAAGATTAATATGACGTATGTGCAAGCGTTATGCGATTTAATCGATGCTGATCAGTTACAGATAGTTGTAGACAAGGTGTACAGGCCACAAAATATCATACAGGCATTAGATCACATATTGGATGCCGATGCCATAGGTAGCACTGTAATAAGGTTTCAGTAACTATTGAATTATTGTAAAATAGATTTTCAGTTTCATAAATACATGATTATCATATTTTTTTATTAACATGTTGTAAATAATAGAAAATGCCTAATCACTGCCAATTACCATCCAATGTTAATGCAAATCGTTTGAGGTAATTCAAACAATTTATATATGAATATATTTGTACATTTGGTGCTAAAATCAAGACTGAGCGAATATTTAAAAAAAAAAATAATGTACATAAATGCGTAATTTGAGTGTTATTCACTGGGGAAGGGAATCAGTTTAGAATATACAGAAAACANGATATTTATACTTACTTTACGTTTTGGAGAATTCTGACTCGGCAGTACAGTAAAGAACGAATCTAATCTGCCTTGAGTAGAAGTATTTCGAGCTTTGTGCAATTTTTTTGCACCATTCCTCACTCTTTCTTCGCTGAATTGTTTATCACCGCATAGGTATTTTACTAAACCTTCTTCATCCGGGTCTGACCATTTCAACTTATGAAAAAAGAATCGTTTATGAACATTAATATGTACATTTGTTATAGAAAGTAGGTACATGTACTGTACGTAGATTAAATTATATTCACATCAATTGTCGCGGGATCTGTTATTTCAGGCTCTTGAAATAATAATCGAGCTTGCTTGTAATTCCAGTCTTCAGGTATCGTATACTTTTTACTATCTATGTTTTCCACAATCTTTTCGAGCGACCGGTGTGTTTTAATTAATTCAATAGCACGTTTTGGCCCAATTCCTCTTATGCTGTTTGTGTAATCGCAGCCCAACATTATACAGAGGTCAATAAACTGGAAATAATTGAAGTAACATTTGCAATAGAAATATTTAAATAATATTATCGATATGTTTGCCAGCTTAAGTGCCAAACCCTTACAGATTAATAAAATAGTAAATCAGATCGTATCATTTACGTACTTCATCATTATTCAATTCAAGCTCAGCTAAAACTTTATCATGATGAAATTCCTGTACAGGCATTTTTCTTGCTTCGCTAAAAGTTAATCGTCGTAATAAAATGTTACATCCAAAGGTAAGAGCATCCATATCTTCTGTGGCTGTTGCAAAAACTTTGTCAGCCTTCACTAAAGCAGCACATTGCGCCTCTGCTTCACATGGAGCCTGTGAGATTAATATGTTAATATAAAATTGATTTCTCTTTCCTTCCTGTTACTTACATCAATATAAGGAATTCCCATCAATTCCAATAACTGTTTAGCTTCATTTGCATGTTCCTTTGTAACTTTTACCAGTCTTCTGTTGTACTTCTCTACATCTTCCGCATTTCCTAAAATATTCATAACGCGAGGGCTTAGGATTTATTAGTCTTGTATTAAATGAGATGGAATAAATATATTTCTTCAATTACCTGCTTCTTCAGCTACTTGTAGAAGTTTCTGAGCCTCTTCCCTCCTTTCAGCTCGCTTATTTAATTCGTCACCTTTTAAATTCGGTGGTTTTCCATCAAATACATATACAGGTTTTATACCTTGTTCTACTAAACGTATTGTTCTATAAAATATACCCATCAAGTGACTGGAATGAAAAGAAATAATAGAATTATTGTTATTATAATGGTATATCGTAAAATTTCTTGTTGGAGTACACGATACCTTGTTGTCTCTCCATCTACGGATGTCAGTTGTGCACCTTCGCTTCTTACAGCGATAAGAAATTGATACAAGCACATAGATGCATCTATGGCTATTTTACGACCTAAAACAATAAGCGTGAAAGCCAACTTTTTATAAACTTAAAAATGCAAAAACCGTTTTACCGTTCTATTGTATGTGTACATACCGAAATAATGTTTCAGTTCTCGTTCTTTAATAGCATTCGGTGCTACATCCGCAATTAATTTTGCCAGGCCCAAAATACCCATGATGATAGACAACAGTTGTAGTTCAGATTATTTGTACAATATGGAGACGTCAAATTACTGTGGTTGGCGAGTGCGAAGCAGTAAAAGCATTTTCGCGCCTAAATAGATGAGTAACATATGTACCAGGTATCAGGGTCAACGCCAACGATGCCACCGGTAAGCGGTACAAAATGTTCCTAGGTAGATTCTCTTGTTATGAATTCGACATTTTAAATTTCTTTCGTGAATATTAATTGTTTCCTTTGTATTTTCTTAATGTTTTAAGGTCTTTAATACAGTTTCATAGACTACTTTACAATGTGTAACAAGTTTTATTTAGAAAGATGTTCTTAATGCAGAGATATTTCTGAAAAATTACTACATCATCTACGAACAAAATAATTTTCGTCTCCCTAGTTTTGCTTTTACCATGAAGAGTGACCAACCTACAACTTCTTCGGCCCGTTTCTCCCCGTTTCCGGTCTGCTTCGGCCCGTTTCAACCCCTTTCCGGTCTGCTTTGGCCCGTTTGGCCCTGCTTCGGCCCGTTTTAGCCCGCTTTGGCTCATTTGGCCCTGTTTCAGTCCTATTGGCCTGCTTTCGCCCGTTTTGGCCCATTTTTACCCGTTTTAAGTCATTTCGGTTAAATATTCTCTAATTATCTGATCTTTCTTTAAGATCTTCTAATACTTGTCATATACTGTTAGTGGGAGGTACTGAAATCCTTTTATTTTTGTATTAAAATGAGAAAGAAAAATGTGGAAGGCAGGTTTTACGACTGTATAAAATACCAATACTTTATTTCTCAATCGACCGTGCGACACAGCACGCACAAAAAGTGGGATATGTATGTACAAAGTCAATTTGTACCTGGCATTCGTTTATCTCTGTCGCCTGGTACAAAAAGCCGATCGCGCACCTACCGATTAAAAATCTTTTTTTTTCCTTTTACTTGCTAGATTTAAAAAGTAACGCATAACTGTTGGTTACATTCGTAATCATGTTTTTTTTTCATCCTTTCGCTTTTCTTTTTCATTCACGCTGCACACTTCTTCGCCGCCAGTGAATTTAAAAAAAACAAATAGACAAACAAGGAGCTACACATGCTGCTTCGAGCGGTAAATGCAGGTGCTTGAGGTATATCAGTGGTATATACATACGTCTATTTTGCGTGTTGCTTTGCCTTGAGTAAGGATGTTTAAAGAAAAGAAAATGAGAACAAGTTGACAAACGATAGACATGGAATGACGAACAAACGTACAGAGTACAGTCCATCGATGCGAGTAATCGAAGTACAGCATTTTTTGAATTTATATAAATCAAATCTGCACTATAGAAAGAGATTTATCCAGGATTAGCTTAAACGATTCGCAGTTCGCGATTACAATTGTTCAAGTGGGTTCTGTGCTCGCATCGAAGTAGGGAATAACGAAAATGAGAAATCGCTGATTAATTACAATAAAAATAAAGGAAAGGAATTGTGACGTGATATGGATATGCAAATAGTTACAATGTTTATATTTCTTTCTTTTGCTCGGTTTCAAAAGAAGGAAATGGATGTCACAAGCTCGCTGTGTTCTTACAAAGCTAAAAACGGGGCGGAATAACGGGGTTGTTCGATTGGGACGAGACACTATCCATGCAAAACAGGTTCACAGAGTCGCGGTTCTCGAAACGATTTTGCCCTGGCGAGCGATGATTTTTTTTTAAACAATTAAACATTACAGAAATATTTCTCATCGTCCATTTCTGTCTTCGTATTATGATGATGAATATTCAATAACTGAGCAGATTCAAAGACTATACAACGGAACAGAAAGTATTTAATGCACAATGATTGAATGAAATGATGTAACAAAACGAAAATTAGTAACATGATCTAATTTTAGAAATCGTATTAACACAAATTGTCCATTTGTATAATTTCAAATTGCTCTAAAATCTGTATGTTCAACAAAATGCTCATATAAAATCTTAAAAAAAAATCAAAAGCAGAATCTTGCTCTATACTCGAAGTTTAATACCAAATTAAATTACCAGCTTTTAATAATCCTCGATGGACGATATAGAAGTTTTGATTAAAAAATTTCATCGGACTCACGGATAGAACTCGCGTGAGAACCGGAGACCCTGCATCAAAGACCTGTCGCTTCCGGTTTATAATTAATTTGCTCGAAGTTAAAATTAATTCTGATGCGTCCCTTCCGCTGTCTCTCGACAATGTTCCCATTCTTCCAAGGTACATAATGATACGTGTTTTAGAAATATACAAATATAATATGTATATACATAATATACGAAGTATTTCAACAGAACGGACTTCTTAATTGAACACAATACTTTTAATTAAACATGCAGTTATAAAAAAAATCTGCAAACCACTGAATAATTCAGAGTTCTCTTCATACAATAACTATCAAAGAATATGTCTTTATCACTTGATGTAAATCGTTAAATTATTAATCATTTACAGACACATAATTTTATAATGAATTGTTTGTGTTTCTGAAAAGGTAAAACATCCTACTGAAACACTCGTATAAGCGTATATATACATATACATAAGTGCGTGCACAAACGAACGCATTATCATACGCTAGTAGTACAAGTATGAAAAAGGTCAGCCATGCTTACACCAGTCTGGGATATGTTGTCCCTACCTTAATCTATATCTCACTCTCATCCTCTCGCGTTCTACATTATACTAAGATTTGGTTACTTGAAATGTATGATACTAACTAAGATTTCCGCATTGTGGCACTAGACTATCCCTTTCCGGTTTTTTATTTCCTGCCTCTAATAGTTCGGAATGCGCGGATTCCTTCTCTTGAGCACGGACCACTGGAATGGTCCGCTTTTCGATCCTTCCTCTCGCGTCTTCAGCAGACCGTTTACATTTGCATAAGTTCTGTGAGACAACTTTTAGTTCAGCTCCATTCCACGCATTTTAAGTACTAACATAGTTTTCTTCTAGGTATATGATTTATATGAACGTTGGCCGCTGACCTCAACCACTATCGTTCCAATTTTCTTCATTTTACGATATTGGAATTTGTATATTCTTCCACTACTTGTTTATTTATTTATTTATTTTTTGGAATGGTTGCATTTCGGGAGCTTAATTACTACTGGCGATCTAATTAATTATACGTACATACACAGCGGTTTATAGATTAATGGGGTACTTGAAACGTTTACATCCTGTTTCTGAGTAGCGATAAATATTTTCTTTTTTAGCGACGGACGATAGTAGCTGAGGCTCGATTCTGCTGGCGCTGTGGATCTAATTAGAGCGTTTAGGCTTTTTATCTTGTCCACATATGAACAGATGCGCTTCCAAATTTGGAGTTTGAAGAATCTGATGATCGTTTGTGTTATAAATGAAATTAAACGTCAAATGTTAATTAATTGGAATTATCTATATCAATTTTGATTTGGAACTTCAGATAATCGATCTCTTCCAAACATTAAACGGAAATTCTATAGTGTTCGTTCTAAAACCACACACAGCACCAGAACGGTCCAATTATTATATGTTTGAGATTGTATCCGACTTCTTTCTTTTACTTTTCAAGTCTGCTCACTCTGCCACATTACTTGTCGTTATATCTTACACGGACTAAATGTTAAATCTTAATCGTACGCCTCGTATAGCTTACCTACATATGTACAGCCGCGGTTCGAGGGAAAGAACAGTCAGCCAGACAGTTGGTTTCAATTATCAAATTCAGTGCGATATGAATAACTCGAAAATCAAATACATCATTAAGAGATGTTTACTGCGAATTAAATTTGATAGTCGCAGTTTAATTATAACATTAATATTTTTCGCATCTCAATGGAACCAGTAATTGTTTGAATTACCAATATCATTTTTTAGTACACAAAACGATTTAGAAATTAGGAAATATTAACCAAACGCTTAGAACTCACTCGAAAAGTCCGAAACCATTCTTCTAGATCTTCGTGAACCCTTCCTTCGCCCTGTTTCATTCGCTTCCCATTCCTCGTGGAAAATTCGACGCAGACACACACGTGCAGTTCATAACACATCCACCGCGTTTATATATAAAGGGGATTTCGCAGACACACTCGCGGGCCGACACAACCGATCTTAGGAACCGAACTGGAATAACGACGGGTCGCGCCACAGCCCCCATCAGGGGGTTGAAACGAAAAAAAAAATTCATTTGGATAAATGATTAGCGTAAATACGAATGAAATGAAAGGATTTATGCACTTTCTGTCGCCTAAAACGCTTCCCTGTTTCATTCGACCTTGCCGTAACGCTTGCTCACTCAAAAATCGACCTCCCGTTTAAAAATAAAATAACTTTCTTTCCACGTTCCAAATTTCTTGAGAGTATCCACTCCGTTTCAAATCTGGTCCACGACTCTTTACAGAAACTCTCGCGAGACTTTAATTAAAAGTAACCAGAAATTGGTTTTTAAAATATAAAAAAAAGTTATTCGACTTTCACTTGAGAATATTCTACTTATTATCTAGCTTGAAATAATTCGAACACATTTACACTTTGTATCTTCTTGTTCCTTACGCATGCTACGTATATCGTGATATCTCTCTTCCTTGTACACGCACACCTCGTGTATAATATATAATGTGTACATATGCGTATATATATTTATATATGTATATATATATTCATTTTCCTCGTATGTATAGCTATGTACAAAACGCTAGGTGACTCCAACATGACTATGTGCATTTTTTCTCTTGTTTTCTGCTTTTCCTATCGCTCCTTTGTTTTAGTTCTGCGAAGGAGAATTCGATTCGCGTATATTACTTTTTTTTTAACTTACGAGTAAATGATACAGAAATTACGTGTAGTGGTCGTTTCGTCGTCCGGCTACTAAAAAAAATATTAAGTGTATCCTATTACGAAATAGATGCGTAAAGCGTATTGCATTGCCTTCCCTCAAACGGCACGCCTTTCCGTCTCTGCTATCCTTCAGTACAACTCGAAATAAGTTTTAGCTGTCCTCTCTTTTATCGCCATTCACGATATTCCGGTTTTGAAAGATTTACTATACCCTTTTTTCTGTTTTCTTACGATTCCAGTGTCTTTTGCCCATCATTTTTTTTTAATCAGGCTGACAAGCTTAAATTATTTACGACTTATTTTTATCGCTGACTAATTCGTTCAATCCCCTGCTTATTAGTTTATATTCTTGCCTCATCATTTAAAAAACGTTTACTTTGACTGTCAAGAATTTTCCTCGTGAAATCAGGATAAAATTGAATTTGCAGAGGATTGAAAATCGAACGTGGCAACAAAGGAAATCTGCATTTTTTTGAAGCTCGACATCTTCGGCCGACAAATCTACAGAAAACTTAAATTGCTTTACGAAAACGAAAATATATAATAGAAAAAACAATCGAAGGAAAAGAGAACTCTAGGTATCCACTAGAGATCATGATTCGAGACGGACGTACGGTCTCTAGTAGCGTGCTTAAAAAAAAACGGAAACCGATTCCCGATAACTTCGTACGATCCTCGCAAATTAAAAAACATCGCGTAGATACAACTAAATAACAAAGCGGACCCGAACGAAACTTTAGGTCCTCGTTTCACGCCGTCCGACGCATTCGCGTTTTATACGTACAGCTATGTATAAAAAATGATTCTGCACGCGGAATCACGATTCCATCCGGCACAACACGTGTTCGTCGCTCCGGCATAGCTCGATTCGAGAGTAAAAACTTCAACGGGCAAACGGACAGCTCCATTGACCGATGCACAATTGTTTTCAGTCAATCACCATCGACTCTATTAAAATATCTCGTAAACGTTGCGAGTCGAACGTATGCAAAATAATTTACCTTCGCTCGGAGGTTGTTCGGTGAACGACGATACTTTCCACCCTTACTAAAGTTCTGCGAAGAGGCCATATGGTTTAAGAAAAAAATGTCTCTAGCCTCGTCATTGACTGTCTCCCAGTTCTCGAATATTTTTCAATGTACAGAACGCGTACACAACAGCGTACAGAACACATTATATTAACTTGTATCGACTTGTCTCTTCCGTCTCACGACGGTGGCCAAGGGAAACCGGTGACCGAACGACGATTGAATCAACGGACAATAAGCACAGCTACGTTTACATAGGTAGATCCCACCATTCAAGAATCTTCTTCTTTGTCTTCTTCCTCAGGCTTATTTTCTTCTTCGCTGGTCTTGAATTTTTTGCTGGTCGAGGGTCCCTGAACATCGTCTTCTTCTTGATCGCTGCTGGATAACGAGCGTTTCTTGGCCTTCAGGCTCAGCAGAGAGTCACCCTGGCCAGAGTTTCCCTCAGCGGCGTCTCTCAAAAATGGATGTTCCTCACATCGGTCGGCGTGCCCGCCTTCTTCTCGTGTTCCAGGACCTTGTCCTGGCTGGTGCTCTCGTCCCCCAGTGGCCTCTGCGGCGCGCTCGTCGTCACCGAAGTACTACTACTGCTCTCCTCCTGCTCCACTACCACTTCTGGTTCTTTACTAGGAGCTTCCACAGCCGACGACGTACCACCCACCGCCTGGGAGACCATCTCCTCGATTTGGACCAGGCAGCCCTGCAGATAGTCCTGGAAATCATAATGAAAACCATTACTTCATATTTGTATCAGTTCGAACAAGAATTAAGGATGATCTTACAATATTATTGAACTATATTTAATCAATAATTTTTATTTGTTTTGTAATTTTGAATTCTTTCTAATGACTGATCAGCGATTAAAAGCAATTTTCATGAAACAGACATTGCGTTTGTGTACGATATGATTCGGATCCGTTCAGGAGACGCTAAGTTCGAGGGATCGTTCACGAATTTCAGCAAAACATCGCGTAAAAACAAGCGAAGACGTAGCAGGTGTCGGGCACATGTTCGCGGTGAGAAAAAAGGAGCGGCGGGCGTGTCAAGAGGAGGGAAAAGGCCATTCGAAACACGGGCAGACTATACATTCGTGCGATGCGTCGCGTGCAAACAAAGTGCACGCGTGAATGGCTCGGCATGGGGTCTACGCCCTGCAATATTTTTCAACGCATGTGTGTTTAGAGAAGCAGGAAGACGTTCCGCGAACAGTCGCGCCGTCTTCAACCACCTGCCCCTCTTCACAATTTTCATTCATAAAATTCGGCTCATTCAAAGTTTTCTTATACAGATGCGAGATGGAATCCTGCCTACTTTTATCTCAATATTTTAAAACACCAAAATGTATTCCGTTATTCTATTTGTCGGTATGAATACGCACATGAAATTTATTTATTATGAGTCGCTGAATAGATTTTATAGCGGACAGGCTATATTTTCGTTGCTTTATTAATCCCATAAACTTATTAGGTTCGCATCTCGAATGGAAGGTATTATTCTTAACGTACCTGTTCGATGGCTGTGATACGTGTTAATTCGGCGAGGAGTTTTGCAAGTCCGAAGCCGCTTTTGCCAGTCCAGTCGAGACCGTGGAGAGCGGCTGCAACACTCGCCGCCGCGATCATGCTAGGCGTGTACATCGCGAATTTGTACTCTGAAAACAATAAATGAACAAGATATGAATACTTTCTCTTTTGTCTTTGACTTATTATAGGAATAGTAAAAATTTATTGGGGTCGTTGTTAAATGCAGAAGTAGTATTCTTGTATTAATCTCAATTTGTTAGCCAAATTCACTTGTGTGTAAACAGAATTTCCCAAATCGCTGCTTAAATTCTAAACACACGTCCTCGGCATACCAGAGGACACGAATGCGGAATACGAAATGCCTCCAAAAAACCGGTGAGAGGAACGTGTCTCCAGGTATTAGAAATATGGTCGAAGGAACTATCGCTATTTCATAAGAGCCACGTTTCCAGCCAGGAACAAAACGATCCTAACATTCTGTTGGAAACGTTTCTACCGTCGAGAGGATAGAAATCTGCTAATAGAACAGCAGGTAGACGTGTCCTGAAAAAGGGGGCTTCGAAACGAGATTTATGATGCTGGAAAGTGTAGCTTGTAGGGGGGTCCACGTCTCCAAAGGTTACCGACAGAATAAACACCGGCCGTTTTCTCTCTTTTTCGTCTTTTTCTTACCGTTTATTGCTAGTACGAGCGTGAAACCTTTTGCCACCTCGGCGTGGGCAACGTGCGACAGCCGCGAAGAGCTGTTCCGGATGAGAACCGGACACGAGATGGCAAACAGTCGAAGTCTGTGCCTTAGAGAGTTCGTAACTGGTCGCAAATCTTCTAACGGTACCTATTTCTGGTCGAAAAATTGCCAACACGGAACATTCTAACAAAATTTCGAAGAATCTGAAGGAGTACCCCTTGAAAAAATATCGGAAAAGATAAAAATTTCTTTTTCTCAAAATTTTGAAAAATGTTTCAAATAAAAGTTGCAGGTACTGGTATTATTTACAAAAAAGATCATATACAATTTTATTCTATCTCGAATACTTTAGAAGTAATCGATTAATCATTTCATCTATCGTCAATTAAGACTGCCACTCTTTAGTAATCCTTGGTGCCCGAACGGACAGACGGAGCTGAAATTTAACGGAGAGCAAGAGCATGCCGTAATAAAGCCATTAAGAATGGAATTCCACGAAGCCCGGTCTTAAATTTGCAGAGCCGCGAGACAGAGAAAGGGGTACAAAGACAGAGAGAGAGAGAGGAATTATATGTACCGCTCCCACAGGTGCATTCTTCTTCGGTAAACTTTGAATCAGACGATCTTTAAACGTAGATCACCCTTGCCTGATTGATCACAATCTTTTTCTTCCCATCTGTAAGTTTACCTTATCTAAAGCAATTCTACTCGGTTTTAATTGCAAGTACTGTTCTGCTGCTTTTTACTTTCTGTTTTTCTTTCTCACGCAAGCAGTCTTGCGTACTTTCTTGAAGTACCGTACCCTCGGCCGATTCTTTTCAAGGTTCTGGTTCTCTTTTGGTACACCTTTCTTGAACTTCCACCTCACGTATTCTACCATTCTTCTTCTTTTCATTTTCTCTTTTTGTTTTCTAGAGCTTCCTTCCACCGTTCTTTTCTTGCGGATCTCCTTCCTTTCCATATTTCCAGTCGTCCTTTCATCCCGCCGACGCGGCTCTGCTTACTTAAGTTCCTTCTTTTCGCATTCTACATTTCTTTAGTTCTATTCTACTTATTACCTTTCTTTCGCTTTTGATATCAGGCCTTTTCTTTTCTGGCTACCAATTTTTTGTTTGGCACGTTTGATATTACTTTGGCAGTATAAAAAAAGAGCAAAATTTTAAGAGAAGAGAAATAATAGCAAAGCTTGCCAAATACGATGACCGAGTATGCCTATGTAGATAATTAAGTAAATTATCCATATCGATTGTCCTTTCCTAAGCGTTCTCCCTGACACTAGCGTCAATGTAACAGGCATGTGATTTCGCATGACACGATGCTGATAAGGTGTTTCTACCTCAAACCCAAAAAACGAGTCGCGAGCAGGTTCACGGACCTTGTCGCGATTCAAGGAAGCGGCTGGAATTCGTGGCGCCGTTTGCTTCTCTTTTCGTCGCTGAAAAAGAGGGTCAACCGAGCAACCGGCTACGCAACGCGTCCATACGTACTCGAAACCGGGCGGTTCGGGCCAAGCTACCTAGTTTGGCTCGTGAGAAACAATCATCGTCGTCTCCCTAGTCTCCGTCCTTCCTCTTTTCTCCGACGAACGAGGGGGGACCACCGAGCCAGACGACGAAGGACGACGCGGTCCTTGCTTTTTGTTGCGTCGTAGCACTCTTGTAATAACAACCAACCGGCAGCGGCCAGAAAGGGGATTTAAACGTGGATCTCACCGTACGTATGCCGTACACCAGTCGCCCCTTTCTTCTTCCACCGCTTCTTCCATTTCTTCTTTCGATTCCGCGATTTTCCACCGAGATCGAACGCTCTCCGTTTTTAGAAACATTGCTGCCCGAAATATTTTAATAATTGCCTGTGAACTCGTCCTCGCGGATCTCCCTTTTCTTCATGCGAGCACCGCGTGAGAACAACACAACCTCGTTTCGTTTTCAAATTTAAATATCATTTGGGTACAAAGACGTCATAATTCATTAGTATGAAGACATATACGTAGTAATCTACTGATTTTATTTGACCAAGTACAAGAAAATTGTGCAAGTTTACTTTCATGTTCCAGTATGTATGTACTAGAAACGTGTTGGTTTCCGCCGGGTGCGTTCTATGCGGTACCGACGTAGTATAGCTATTCATTAATGCGTTAGTTAACGATGCACGTTCCCGATTGTTTACGATACCGCGGCATGGTTCTAACGAGGCAATGTAGGCCCGCGGCGCTAAGGAATTGCATTTTTCTTCAAAACACGTTGTTTGATCCCTGATAAAGGTTTTATCCTTTTCCTAATCACTTTCTCAAGACAGAATTTTGCGTTCCTTGATAGAATTTCAAAATAGATAAATATGATTGATTATCGATTGAACCATTGATTTTATATCATATCATATTTCATGTTGCATAATCGATATTTTAATCACATAAGACACAGTTCCAAGTTTAGTACAAAACGAGAATAAAGAGAAAATGTATCAAAAATGGTATTATCACTAGCTGACGTGCTGTCGAGGTAAAAAGTAGAACACAGATAGAATTTCGTTAACGCTACATTAGCAGGTAAGTAAAAATTCATTTTCTTGTTAAACACTCTTATCGCGCGTCCGCGATGATTAGAATATTATGAAAAATGAGGCATCTGACGGCATGTAATTAAAAATTACCTAATAAGTAGAACGAAAAAACTAGAGCAAATTATAATTCTGTTTTTTAGAGCTCGGTATCTACTCGCGGCGACACCATAAATAATTAAAAACCTTTTTTCACAATCGCCTTAGGCTGGTAATGCACAGTTGAATTCAATGGAAATTGTATAACACGTCTATTTCAATAATCAATATCTTCGTGACGTATTACAGTACTGTGAATGAGGGAAAATGTAGGTCTTGCCTAAGAAAACGTGGATTGATGTCAATGTACGCAACGTGAATGCAAAATGTTTCCTGTGTTTGATACTTAATTTCATAATTAATGAAGCTCGTATTCTCGACCCACAAACATGTAACGTGAAGCTACTACGTCCTTATGAAATCTTTAGTAATTATAGAATTTCAACTAATCGTAAGATAAATAATTTTTTCGCATTAAAAATATTCATATCATATAAGTTTCTACTTTAGAAATTGTTTTAAGAAATACTATAGGAAAAAGCATGGTAATCAGGAATATTTTACTCACCTCTGGCGCTGAGGGCGATGAATGTCTGCGCGTGCCTCCTGACCATCACCGGGTCCCAAGTACGCGGCACTGGCAGTCTGTGAAGGATGTGCATCAGGAAGTCGCCCGGTGTCACGGCGGACAATTCCCATTTGAGCTTCGAGACGACCAGCTGTTCCCACCTCTGTAACAATTAACCAGACGAGGGATGTTTAGACACATCAAATCCCATGTTGCAGCGTCACAGTGTGCCGTTACACATTGCAAGAATGTACTTAATTATGCATTGTTAAGTGTTAAATATAACCACGTGGCCACAGAAGAGACCATTATCAAAAATATAAAAAAATGTATATTTATGTAGAAATAAATTTGCATGAAAAGAGGCTGTGATAAAACGTTACATTTCATCCTGAATATGAATTCATATGAGTGTACAAAGACTTTTGGTTGATACTGTACGCACGGACGTTAACGTAACAGTGTACACACGTTCTCTCGGTTTCCTTTCGGCCTCGCGGATGCGCTCTGCTCGCTCGAGTACGTCGTAGTACCCCCGTTTTCTCTCGACCGTGAAATTACACGCCGACTATACTACGCGGAGTACTACGCGTCCTTCGGCTTGATTAAAAGTCCATTGAATTTCGTGGGTACGTACGTACGCGCGTATACACGAACGCTATTACTATGTATACTCAAGGCCCCAAAAGTCTTACGAAACGACGTGACGTGACGGCAACGGCGTGACGCGACGGTACGGTGAACGCGGTTTTCGTCAGCTCGCCAAATAAAGTGCGACGGGTCTCCCAATCCTCTCACAGTGTTCGCAGAATCGTAGTTTAAGTCAACGTTGGAATCAATAGATTCGATAGATTTGGATGAAGTATTTTTTTTTTTAATCGTTACTTTTAATCATATGAGCAGAATAAGATTTGAATGTAAATGTGCTTATCAATATTAAAGAAGTAGCCTTTTAGTCATCGTAGAATTAAAGTTCTTTCTTAATTGTTATTTATGCATGCGTAGAATTGACCCCTCATCCTTGAGGGGGTGGAGCTTCGCGGTCGAGTGCGTGCGTACACGCTCGTAACGTGACACGTAAAGTAAAAGTCACTGAATGAAACAAAGACAACGTGTGCCGAGCCAGTGGTATAGGTCCGATTTTTCTGCGGCGCTCGAGTCTTAAGTAGTCTCAGACTCAATAGTCAGACTACCTGAAGTCAGTAATAACGTAACTTCTTATACGCTTGCTATTTCTTTGTTTTTTATACAAAATCAATTCCTGTCTTATCCTTCATTAATTTAAAATGATCAAATTGTGATTTTATTTTGTGTTAAAAAATTGTACAAATTGTGAAGCAAAATTAGCTCAAGTTTAGAATGTCATTTTAAATGAGATATAAATTCTGTGATGTTAAAACTGACCTTGTTACGGTCTTTAATTTTCTCTAAAAACGACTGGCATTCGACCATTACCATTATCGTCACTCTATTCGTAGATCCACAACTTTTTACTAGAGTTACTGTGTACAGGCAATAAAGGAGTCAGCTCTTCGTGTACCCGGCACGACCAATTGCGAGTGTCCAGCGGTGGAACGCGAGTCGTAGGAAAAACCGGGGCTACTACACCGTTCGCGGCGCGTAATATCTTGTCGATGGTTGCTGGTGTATACCGGCGACGCGGTGGCTGTGGTCTGCGTCATGGAATGCGTGACGGTGCAACGACGCATCCCCGTCGCGTCGAGTTCTACGCGCGCCACGGTACGATGCGTACGAGAGCGTAAACGTAAAACGATTCCACGGGAGGGCAATGATCTTCCTCAGGGATACACTCGTTTACATGCCACACCGCTTCCCATTACTAGGATACTAACTATTCAATTGATATTCGAAACAGTATGAGAACAAATCAAATATGCATATGTGTAATGCATGTACGTAAAACCAATTATCTAACAGGTAACGATCCTATGAAAAGAAGTATAGATCAGAGTATATTCTTACTCGTAATCTTCAGAAAACATATTTTAAAATAACTCGATACGAAATATCTTCCTTAAAAAATTCAGGAATCACTTCCTGAAAATTTAAGCCTGTGTCTACCCCTGCTATGAAATTAATGCAGATGTTTGCGATTGTCAAACAGCTTGGGTACAAGTCGTCGCACCTCCGGTGTATCAGGTAGTACCTGCTCCTTTTTATTAGTTCCCCTCGGGATATCTAGTATCGGTGAGCAGCGCGCGTTTGATGATGCGACGTCGGTTGCATTTGAATTTTTCCACGCAGGCCTCCCTTTTGCTGCGAGAGCAAGTTTTCTCACGAGAGGACGAGTCGGGCGGAATGTTAGAGATTCCCACTCTCCTGCCCGGTATCCGCCCTCCCGGATACCCTGTTCGATTAAACGGAATCGAATCGACGTCGCGTTCGACACGAGGGAGAAGTGTACCTGTACATATATAGGTAAGTCGTTTACGCGCCGTTCGTCATGCATCCATAAGTCATGGTACATAAATTGGTTCGGGCGAATTGTCATTTAGACTCGATCACTCGAAGGAAGTGACTGTGCGCGAAACATTTCAGAATGTCATCAGCATTTAGGTTTTTCAATTGTTAAAAATGTTGAGTAATTTACTGATCCATGATTGCCCCTTTTAAGGATATATAGGCTATACATATACTTAAACAA